GGTTTGTTGGTTCATTCCGTCGGGGACTTGCTACCGAGAAAACTGCGTGCGCGAGAAAGGTCGTGAGAGCTTATCAGAATTCTTACAAAGCGGGATAGAAAAACTATGGGCAGCCTTTTTCATGCCAAGGAGGTTGGATTGGAAGCTATGCGAGTCATGACCCGTGTGTGTGCTGTGCTGCAGCGGCGGATTTCCGTTAAGACTACCTTACCTTATCGTCTAGCCCACGTTGAAACTTGCGGTCCTTAGGTTTGTTCGTTGCCCGTTCTTTTGACCGGGCCTTTTCTGAATTTTGGTTTCGGGGCAATTTTGTGGTTTTTCTCTTGCGGTGCTTCGACACGAGGTACTGTACTTCGTAGATAATCAGTGTTTAATCACTTGTGTATGTGGGGCTTTTTATGTGGGATCGGTTTTGGGGCGGGTTGTATCATGAGATTTAGCGTGACATATACGAAGACGCCATTAGTACTGTGGCGTGGGTGGATAGTGGGAAGAGGCTTGAGAGGGGAGAAGGAGGAGGAGGAGGAGGCGACACGACGGTGGATGATCTTGGGGATGCTCTAGTTGAACAGTTTTATCGGTGGACATATCATTGAATATCAAGGTGGCAGAATGTTGTTTAACTAACCTTGGTGATGGATGTTCTTCCATACCTGGTATCGATGTTTGCAATATATACATGTATTGGTAGATATAGGTATTTGTGTAGCGTTTGGGAATGAAGTGTATACATATCGACGAATGGCATTACCCAACTTATCATGAGCTTTTCGTTCTAAGTGCTCGCCTTCTCCGCAGTGTCATCTATCTCGAATGGCCACGAACGACAGAGTTGAGGATGAGACTATGGCATGCGACTTGGAGCATCATGAGCTGCGTCGCGTGTTGTGCCACCAGGGATATCCCAGCATAATCCGCAACTGCTTACTCGAGACGAACGACAGGGGAGAGGGGGGCATGAGGTCGGCGAAAGCGAAACAATTCGAGTTTCTACTACGTGGGACCCTTGCACCCAGTCCCCAGTCGCCATCCGAACCTGACGGAATGCTGGACAATGACCTGGTAGCATGACTGACCTGATCGCCTTCGATCTCAGGATGGTCCTGGTACAGGACCCCGATGCGCATGACGGACAGAGAGCAGCCATTCTCCCCTAAACTCGCCACTACCCTGTGGTGAAACTCCGACGTCTGCTTTGAAAGATCTGACTAACCTGCAGGTGGGAGGCCACCCGCTCACTATCGGACGCAAGAAACGACGATCGAAATGCGCATCCCTCGAGCCGGGAGGAGCCCAGACTGGACGGCAAAAGCAAGTCGTCTATGTCTTTCGCCACGAGCCTGCTTCCTCGAGGGATTGCGATGGCCCGCCCGGTCTGTCCAGAACTTGAATCTAGCTCGAGTCGAAATCCTTCCTTGCTCCAAGCCACTGATAGCTCTCAAATCAACGGTGTGTGTGGAAGCGGCGTGACGTGATCTGTGCAGGCCGATCGAATGAAAGCTAACCTAGTTGATTCTCCCTCGTGGAGCACTGAATGGTGAAAAGGAGAAGGAAGAGAGAGAGAGAGAGAGAGAGCAGGTCGGTGGTCGGTGGTCGGGACCGGTTCCATGTTGATGATACTCCTCCAGAATCAGTCAATCTCCGAACGGGCAACGGGCAACGAACAAACAATAAACGGGCGGACGGACGGACGGGCAGCCACATGGTCGACGGCTTGTCACACCATGGTTCATTGATAATAGTCAGTAGCTGAGTTTGCTTGGGTCCCTTTTTCTCTCATGCCCGTAGACAGTGGGTTGCTGGAACTGGTGAGGGGAGAATGGGCAGTCCTGAATCGGGGATGAGGGGAAGAAAGCGGTTAGTACTACGTACCTATGTGGTATAGAGGTTCCGCAAAGCACATGGCAATCTCGATTGGTGATACAACGGGCAAGCAAGGGAACTATGCTTGATCTGGCAGATTTCCCCATCCAATCCTCAAATCGTACCCATACTCAGACCCAAAAAGGATGCAAGTTACCAGGATTAAACCAGTTCGGCGGACCCCGAGAGAGACAATGATCATCGGAGATCAAAACCACCGATGTCATCAAGATATGAATCTACCCAAACATTTCATGCCCACATGGGAATTTTGAAGAATGAAAGGATGTTCCTAGTCTCCTCGTGGAGTCTCAGGCATATTGCTTCGAGTGCCGCTGCCCCGCTGTGTGGAGTTCGTGGTGGTGTGTGTCCTTACGCTTGACCCACTGGCACTAAGCCCAACATGAGATCGAGCGTTGAAGCGAGATGGAACGACCGTGTGCTGCTGCTGCTGCTCGCCTGGCTTCTTGGTACAAATTGCCAGGGCAGACTTTGAACAGCCGAGTGGAAATGGGGAGGGGGAGGGGGAGGGGCAACGGAGCGAAATTTCCAAGCTGATGGTAAGGAAGATCAGCACAGCCCGTACGTCAGTGTCGTATCCTAGTGAGTGGGAAGTCCATGAGCCGACCGACTCCCATCCGGATCCGAATGAACTGGAGATGCAAGCAGATTCGATGCAGTCTGGAAGATGACCCCACCACGCACAGGTCAAAGTGGAGATTCGGCGCCCAATCTCCGGGAAGTTCTGTCTGGCCCCGATAGTGCGGTGTGCAGTAGATACCGAGGTTCTGCCTCGCCCAGGTGAGGATTCCGTAGATTGAGATGAAAGTAGACAGAGAATGGATGTACTGTAGTAGCCGCCATAGCATCGTCAGCAATCCCATTGTCCATACGCAGTATATCTGGTGTGGAGAAGCATTGCAAGTACATACTGTACAGACCAGTACCTCGAAGTGTCAGTCACGACCATGCGGGTCAATGCAGCAGCACCACGAGCAGCGAAGGAGGCCCATGACGTTCTCATCACACATCCGACGGGTACATTGCAGCAGTCACGTACTGTACGTATCCGTGGAGTCGAGTCGTTGAGGATCGACCGCCGCCCGACCATGGTGCGCGAGATTGGCTCCAGATCCCATATGATCTAGGCCATGTGTGGTCCTTTCTTGCTTGAACAGTGTTAACGACTCTTGACATCGGCTAGGGTACTAGGCATAGCAAGATTCGGCTCATGGTTAGCCACAACGCCGTCCAAGTGCCCCGAACAACAAGGCAAATAGATTAATTTCCATCTGCTGGAACAGTCAGAGTCAGAGTTAGGGGATATCCACAACATCGGCAACCAGAGCTCCTCATTCACATGCTCACTGCTTGTGCCGGGCCTGTCACCGCCCTTCCTGCGGTCTGTCGTCGAATGTCACCTATAGTACATCCTTGACCCTAATCGTTATCCCCTAGAATTTGTTGCTTATTCATAAACCAAGCAATGGCACATCAAGTGATCAGAAGGCAAGGGCCAACACCTTATCGAATCAGAAGTTAGTTTATAATGCAGGTTAGGATTACTATGTATAGATGATCGTCTCCTTTTCGTCCGGCTGGGGAGGGGAATGATGCATATAACAAACATTAATATTCCGGAGTAAATGTGACGGGTTGGTGCCGCCCAGCCCTAATCTGACTTACGTGGCGTACTCGGAGACATGTGCAAGGCCTGGGGGTTTAACTCTGCTAATTTAGTACATACATAAACTAAATAACTACTTATTTTCAGACTTATGTACGTAGATATGAAATAATGTAAGATCCAGTGGGTTAATCTGGATAGAAAATGGGAGATCTTGAGGCTACCTACTCAGAGATTACCTAGTCCAAACATTCCACAAGTTGGAGGCTTGGAGAAGTTAATTGCGAGTAAATTTGTGTGTGCGTGCGCGAGAGTGGAAATTGGAGACTCGAGCAATAATACCGCTAGTAAGCGCACTACTGTAGGCGTGTCAGAGGGTAAGCGTCTCGATAGTGCATCGGCTTTGGTGCCAAACTCGGGAAGGGCCGGCCGATGCTGCAAGCGGAGCCGACGTCTGCCACGTGAAATGACTAGGGTCCAGAACTCCAGAAAGGCCGCTAGGACCGCCTCTAGTCTGCATTGAGCCTGGATCGACCGAACGCCCGCTCCAGCAGTTCTTAGCGAAAAACAAGGGGGAGGGAGGTTCTCGTCGGCCGGTCGGCATTTTTTCTTTTTTGTTTAGGCCAGGTTAGGTCAGGGGGGCGGCAACCTGCAACTGCGTGTGCCGTGACTAAATCAGAACCAGGCTGAGACTTTCCGGGTCTCATACCCGCCGCCGCCGCCGTCGCCCACACAAGACAACCCCTTGTCCCATCCCACAGGTAACTTGACTACGTACTAGTTATACCTTACAGGCTACCGTATATTCCTCCGTACACAGACCACCATCAAAGATCCCACATCTTGATCGCACAGCATGGGAAAAGATTCAATGTATCATTCCCACCTTTCCCTGACTCCAGCGATCCAGCTATAGAGCCTCGAACAACCACGCCCCTGGCTGGCTGGCTGGCTGGCTGGCTGGCTGGCTGGCTGGCTGGCTGGCTGGTCCCATTCGTTCCCCACGAACCCCACCGTCTCCCTAGCTGGGTTCCCTGATGACGATCTGCGCTCGACGCCTTGACTAGCCAACGTGGCGGTCGGGGGAGATGCTAGTTCTAGACAAGCTGAAAGCCGTCATTCCTGCCGGCTGATTGAGAGTCTCGGTAGATCGCTTGTGCAATTGGCGATACCTCCAATCACAGGCTGTCAGACCATCGATCACGAGCGCACTCGAAACTCTCCAGTGACATCTGTCAGGTCTGCCAGACTTCGGGATTCTAGATTCCCTTTTTTCTCCCACCTCTCGGTTTGGAGCAATGAGGTTGCGATCTACGGAGTATAGTTGGAGCCATTATACGGCAGGAGGATCAAGGGACGGAGGGAAGGAAAAGGACGGCTCAAGCCGTCACACCCAAGCCCAGGCTGATTTGCTCCTGCATGCGGAATAGCAATCCATGATCCATACGGAGGGCGCTTGCGGATGGTCGAAGATCAGCTGCTGCTGTGACTGTGAGGTTGCAGGAATACGAGAAAGATCGGAGGTCGGAGGGGGACATGCTGAAAAAGCAAAAAGGGAGTTGAGTACGGAGTAGTTAACAACCATCGCACATTTGTGTGTTGTGTTGGTGCGACGGTGCAGGATTACTGTGGAAATGTGCAAGGCATGGGTACTGTACAGTACGCACTACCTACGCAGAAGGTAGACGCCGTGCCGAGTCAACGGAACCGTGCTTCGTCCCTCACTACTACTGCCTCAGGCACCAACATCCCCCTCCCTCCCGTAAGCGAAGCTGGAACCGACGACACTCGTGCGTTGCAAATCCTGAAACCGGCGCCAACTCTGCGCTTTGAGTTTGATCGACGACCTTACCGCCCGCCTCTCCTTGGTTTCTATACGTAGGCTCTCCAGCGACGGGGCTAGAAACTGGACATCATGGATCTGGGCCCCGGAATAAATGAAACAGGCGAGGGAAACCCCGTCAGTGGCTGATGGCGACCACTGTCGCTGGTTGGTGGTTTGGTCTTGGCTATCAAGTAAACTTCTTAAAGCACTCAACTTGAGTTCCGGAGGCCTTGGTTCTAATGACTCCGGCTATTATCGTAGGCGACACTGGTCGGGACGGATTCAATGGCTGTAGAATAATGGTACCGAGTAAGACACCACAGCAGCAGAATATCTGGGCTAGAAAATACACAATACCGACTCGTGGCTATTGTTGAATATAGACCGTCTCCCAGGGCGGCGGGCAAAGATGGCCCGATTGACCAGCGCGAATCATTCCATCATGGTTACTATTATTAAAGAATAGGTGATCAACTAGTTGTCAGGGGAGGGCGCCACAGTATTGATACCCGCCACTAAGCAGCATGCAGTAGTATTGCCGGCGACTATTGTAATCTGGATTGCCGCTCTGAGCGGTCAAAGCTGGGAGCGTTGGAGAGAGCGTTGGGATGATCGGCGCGCGCATCATCGCCAATCTCCATCAAGCTGATCTCGGGATATCTCCGTCGGGTGGCCGAAATCACGACCATTGCCGAACACACTGGCGCTGAATCATCCCTTACAAATTCAACGAACAATAAAACGCTAGGGGCCAAGGTGCACGCTGAGTTTTTTGAAAGCAAACCCACACAGCAACGAAAACCACCCGCGGGAACAAGCATCCCACCGCGAATGCATCACATCTGATTCAGTTGTTCTTCCGAGGCTGCCACTGCCGCCCCGGCAAGGTTAACGCGGGACGAGTGGTTATGCACATACGCGTTTCACAGCAGGGGGAGAATAAGCCTATTTTTCAGTCGGAACTTTAGGGAAAGGGGTGGGTGCGATATACGTAACATTTGTTGCTTGCATAGCATGTGTCGTGGAAAGTGCCTCAAAAGAGCAGGCTATACGTCGATACGCATCAGTTGAAGGGGGAGGGAGGGGTTCCTGTGTGCCTGCAGTTGTTAACAAACTTCAGGCAACCAACCCGCTCACTGGGCAGAGTTTCCTGGGCACCAAATTGTCCCGCATGTTTGACGCGGGTTGGGGCTATGCGGAATTTGCCGAACCCTCCTTCTTGCTCCTCGCCCCCTTTTTTTTCTTTTAGGGTTTGAGCAAAGCCTCGCGGATGCTGGGTGACTGGCTGACTGGAGAACATCAGTTCGTCGAGATATCCCAGATCAGGTAGGTCCCCTAATTTTTGGTTCAAGATGCTTGGGTTTAAGCTCAGATGATTAACACGTCCCACGCGCTTAAGTAAAGGCTATCTTCTGTAACCTTACCCTTAGGCCCTTGGAAGTGAGTTCGAATCACTCATGGATTCATCCATCCATACCATATACGGAGGCTGAGACGAGCTGTAGGTAGCAGTAGGAGGTCATCGATTACATCCTCAAAAAGGTGACCACCGGGTGTAGCCGCATGGTCGCTGGTTATACTTCGCACACGAGAACTAAACTAAGGCACTACTGAGCACAAATTACATAGTATGTATCCGAGTTTAGCAATCGGAGCGTCTCTTCTACCCGCACCCACTCCTCACGCCGCCCGGCGTTGTTCTGGAATCGCTCTCTCTCTCTCTCTCTCTCTCTCTCTCTCTCTCCCTCTCGCGGAGCCGGCCGATGCTATGCAAATTGAGTTCGGAGTTTGATCGTCTCCCTTCCGTATTCCAGGTTTCGATTACGACAGTGCATCCACACTCTATACAATACATGTCCCCCCCCCCCCCCAAAGCTTCATCTAAGTTAAACGGAAGCGGTGCCGATTCTGGGATGGTATTGTTTGATAATGTTTCATGGGGTTGTATCGGCTAGAGAGAGAAGAGCGTTATCGTCCAAGCTCGAAGACATTCCAGGGCGTATCATGTCTGTGAACCGAAGCCGAGAACCGACGACCGAGCATTCAGCGAGGGACTGAGTGAGTGCGCGGTCAGTACTTCGTAGTCTAAGATGAAACAGGTGGGTGGAATCTCCGTCGCAATAGCTCTGCAGCTTACTCAAGTGCCCCGAATGCGTCGTCGTAGGTCAAATTGGGCACTACACTGGGGCTCCGAGGCCGTGGGACGGGGAATGAGACTCAAGATCGGAAACTAACTGCCTGGAGGGCGATGGAAGGCCCATTTCTGCCCATCGAATAAGGCTGGAAAGCACATGGGAAAAGAAATGGAGACGAGCAGTGAGACTAAGCTCGATGAGTGATAGCAAGCTTGCACTTGCACTGATTTCAGTGCGTCGCGCAGGAGCCGACGGGGCCCGCGGATTGCTGCGGATCCCACACAGTTGAACCGGCGGGTGAGCTTCGCTTCGCCGACTCCACGAGACCAGCCTTCCACTAGACTACTAGCTACGTCTCTAGAGCCGTCTCTGTCTTCTCACTGAGTCCCTCGTCTATTAAAGTTTGGGACCACTGGGGAATTCGCACATGGATATGGGTCTCTTGGGTGGGCAGATTGAGCGGTCCTCTACGCGTCAACCTGGGCCTCATAATCCATTCCTCTTAGTGTTCCACAATAATAAACCCCTCAGCAGCAGCAGTGGCAGCATCGACACCATCGTCAGTAACGTCATCATCATCACCATCACCACCACTATCACCACGCGAGTTGCTCGCGTGGTCTTAGAGAATAGATCCAGATATGTTCGTCTATTGGGGATGATCATCCTTCAGAGTACTCAGTAATCTTGCAGCATCGCTATGTGCCCTCGTCGAGTAACCTGTTCATCTTTGATACTTGAGGGGTTTATTGGTTGATTAATGATGATGTAATTCGGCGTCGCCGACGGTTTGGCATGGGTTAGCATGGATTAGCATGGATTAGCATGGTTGGCATGTTCTATCACTGTCGAGGATCCCCCTGCTTTGAATGGAATGGACTGTGCCATTGTGATGCAGGTTGTTTCCAACAAGGAGCTTGGCAATGAGTTACCCGGACGGGGTCATTACCTCATTCGATCGCCAGACGCCAGACAAACGACAGACAAGGCCTGAGGCTGTGGGTGGTCTTCGCCCCTCAGAGACCGCTCAGGTACTGTACAGTACGTATGCAGTAATCGGCTGGGGCGGTGTGACCCGCCACTATCTGATGATCTTCCTTCCTCCCTTTGGAGACAAGGCGTGCCACGCATGCTTGCCTGAGTCTGCGTGTATGAACCAGGGGTTGTCGAAAAGAACAAACTTCAAAGGTCAGATGCTCAAGCATGAGACAATTCGCCTGACAGACTGATCTCTCAAAAAAACAAAAGCCAAAAGGGTAATTCTCCTAGTGTATAGCACCGCTGCTGTTGCTGCTGTATTGATGATCATCGGGTAGTTGTGGTGTCCACTACCTCGTCTCTGTAACCCTTTCCGGATTCGCATTCCATGGCCGGCCGAGGTATTTTGTCTCGTGCACAGGCAGGTACCGACCACCAAACAACCCAGTCATCAACCAAGGGATCTCCCGAAGCCAGTTCTTGTCTATCCTTATTCGGGCTTGGACTTGTCTCTGTTGACCATGGAAAAGCTGCGTTTATGCGTTTCCATCAGCTGTCGGTCGCCTTCTTCTGGCTCGAACTCGTACTGTCGACGAAGAGTTCGACCCAGTAAATCCCACCGCGGTCGATCCCAATCCCAAAGACGATTGACAGCCAAATAATCCCCCCCCCCCCCCCCCATCGGCATTTACAATCGGGTCGGGCCTGGTTATGGACAGCATACACTAGCCGCGCATGCGAAACAAAAAAGTTTGAGAGCTACGTACTTACGGATACACTATACATACACTCAGAGTATGGAGTAAAGCTAGGAGAACTGGGCACTGAACATGTTTCATTGTCGACGTCATTGACCAGGCACAAGATACTTGTACAGTCGAGTCAGAGGTGATCAATCACGGGAGGGGCTTTGGTCTGTGTCTTCCAAGTTGCTGCCATCAAGCCCCAGGAAGAGACGTCTTAGTCATGGACGGATAACATGCACTCTCATTATGCATAAGCTATCCATGCATTCCGCCTGTTCCTCGCCTTGCAGTTGGTAGGTCACTTACTTCCCTGCACAGGCCACCCAGTGCCCGAAATTCAAGCGATATAGGTTACCGGTCGCAAATAAGCAAACAAAGTCCATCCATCACACGGACGAACATTCAACCCTAACGCTTAGTTAGTCAGCCACCTCCTGGGCCAGGTTTCTGAGTACCAGTGAGGCTTTCAGGTCTTTCGCCAATTCTTGCTCCATCTGTGTTTAAGGTTTGCTTGATGTCTCTCGTTGGCTGTCAACGCCACGATAATCTCCGGGAGGCCTCCTAGGATGATCCCTTGGCCAATTGGCCCCCAAAGCAAGCGCAGAAAGGAAAGGAGTGGCACACCGGCATTACCTACCCAGTACCCAGTAGGCGATTGTCCGCCCAGAGATTCCCCTTGTAGGCGGCCTGGCCTAGCTGTTTGTGGCTTAGGGGAGCGCTCCCAAACCAAGACCTGCCATCTGCGCATCGTGCCGCAACTCCGTCATCCGGCCCCAAGGGCTTGGTTTGTGGATGGACGCAAATCACGGACTCATTACCCTTTTAGAATTGTTGTGTTGATTCAGTCACCTTGGTCAATAATCTCACTCTGCCCAGCTTGAGATCCATCCTCCGATCTTCAGCCCTGCTTTCGGCGCAGATGCGCCTATTTTGGGGTGGTGGCAGGTTCTTCCCTTCCCCCCTTTTTATGAAGGGTGGATGAAGGTCCCGTACGTAGTCTTGCACTGATGAAATGATACCCTGGGGAATGGATCGGTTTCCCGCTAGAAGCTAGAGAGAACGGATCGAACTCGAGAGCAACCAGGGTTAGTATGGGACCCAGGACACACTGTGTTCCCCGAACTGGTGATTTCGACTACAGCAGCTAGCAATCTCTCGTTTTTCCTTGAAGTCATGACTGCATTCAAGGCTGATTGATGGGTTTGTGTACCTGGACGGGTTGGCATTTCTCGGGCGGCAAATGTTCCTCCACTGATCTACGACTGCAGGCCCCTCCGAGAGACAAAGGGACCGAACGATCTACAGACGAATCATGACGATGAAGATGATGAAGACGATGATGATAATTCAAGGTGGGAAGTTGGTCTTGGAAGATGAGATCAGGTTCTCAAGCGATGTGTGTGATCGTGCGGCAACGATCAGCCGTTTATGGGGCATGGGATCGTTGTGACAGGTAAAACCTGGACGGAGACTAGCCCTTTTCTCTCTTGTCTCCTTGGTCTTTCTTTTTCATTTCTTATTATAATAATGATGATTATTATGAATCCTCCAGACGATCGGCTGGTAAGAGGGGCCGTCTCTGTCGAATCTGGCCATTACCGCGATAATACCGGGTGGGTAATGGGCATGGGATCCATTGGGGAGCTAGGAGGGCGCCGGCTCGTCCCCCCCCACTCCCCCTCCCTCCTCTTCTCTCACTCTCTCCCACTCTGCCCATGAATCCATGATGGATGATGATCGATGATTGATTCCTGGCGGGCGCATGATGGAGAAGGAAAGGTGTCCGTGGATCTGCACTAGCGCCAGACTTACTGTAGCCGAGCCCCGAAAGTACCGTTGGTTTTCCATCGGCCGATCTGTCGGCCTCCGTACGACGCAGTTACGTACGCCTGCTGCTGGTCTTTTCCGCAGCGCTGTCTAGGCAATTTATTTTCCTTTTCTTATTTCCGCCGTATTATTATTTCTGCTCTCTATATTGCTCCGTTCGACAAACGGAGGTGTTTCCCACTTCTATACAGAGATTCCACTAGCTTATAGTCGACGGAAGAATAATAGGAAGAAATGTCTCCGACCTGAATCCTTTTCATCTGCTTTGATGTCATGGGTCGAGTCCAGGGTTCGCTGATTCAGCCAGCGTGGAAGAGGCATCTTCCGACCGCGCTGTCTCTGTCGCTTGTCTTGTCCCGCTCTTTCAGTCTTCCTGATCTTTGGTAACCTTTCAATTTGACCCAGGGTGCACCCATCGTGCGGGTGTGGACAGCGGAGGCGGCGCACGTTTTTTTAGCTCTCGTCGAGCCTACCCAAAACGATGAAGCTAATGGCAAATCATCCTTTTTTAGTCGCATAGCTACTGTATGCGAAGGGGAGTGAGAGGAGGGGAGGGGGGGGGAACTCCAGTATAGACGTGGGGACAAACAACACATGCGTTACGGTACCAGCAAAAGACAAAAAGGCGATTTTTACCCTCGGAATAATTACGTCGCTTGTCGAATCAGACACGGCCAAAATCATTAAACGAAGGGCCCGGAGAACCACCAGCGCAAGTCATCGCGTGTACCGGGTCAGTGGTCATTAATTAAGCTTTGAGACGGTGGTATCAGCCCTTGTCGAAGCGAATCGAGAAGAGCGACGATGGGGATTTTCCCTGTGGCTAGAGGAGTTAGTTACTAGTCCGTGGCCATTGCGGGCTTCGGGGAAAAAATCATGTACTGTTACAGTTAAGTGGTTGGTTGTAAGTAGCAGCATTAGCAGCAGCAACAGCAGCAGCAGCGAAGCGCGGAAAAATAAGGAATATACGGAGTAGTGTATAGTGAAATTATACTTTGTGTCGGTAGTCGATGTAGTTACATGATGCTGTGTGTGTGTGTGTGTGTGTAGGACTGAGTGTTCTGTCCCTGGCCAGGCACAATTCCTTTTTGTATTTTTTTTTCCCTCTATCCTTTCAGTTGCAAGTATTTTCCATGAATAAATCCTAATAGGGGAGGTTCGCGGCGGCGGCCTCTCCCGCTTTTCTCCTTCTTTTCAGTTTCTCGGCTCCATCTTCAACGCTCACACTCACAATCACACTCACACACACTCTCTCTGTCGCTCGCTCTCATCCTCTCTAACTCTCTTTGTGGTTCCACTCGTCGTCTAACGCTACGGCCGGAGTTTACCAGCGCTATAATTAACATTTGATTGATGTGCAGTTCTTTAATAAAATAAAATACTATTTTTCGTTTTTGGACTAGGATGGAAGTCCACATCTTTTCCTCCCACATCCCCTCCACTTCCCTCCACCTCCCCATCTCCCCTCCTCCTTCCCCCCATCTCCATCCCCCCATCTCCATCCTCTCCCCCCCGAAAAAAAAATAAAATAAAATAAATGAAAAAAAAAACCCAAATGAAAAAAAAAAAAAAAAAAAAAAGGATAGGATAATGAAACCACTGCTGCAGTTGACACGCGACCCAGGTGTGTATGGTTGAGGAATTGAGCATACTCAAAACACACAACTATGCCAAGTACGCGAAACAGCTACCTAGTGCTCAGACAGAACGCATAGGCACATCGGAGCTCACTGCACCCAAGGTTGTGGTCAAGGTAGATGTCTTGTTGAG